TCAGGGAGGCACCGGCCATCCCTAGTGATGGCCTCCACAAATCAGTCGTTCACTTGCGGTGGGATCAGCCGCAGGGTACAAGCCCCAAGCCCGTGCCCCCCTCACCGCCAGAGGAAGGGGCTCCCCGGAGCAGCCCAACATTTCCTAGGGCAACCGAGAGACTGAAGAGAGGGAGGGGAGGCCCCCCCAGCACGCGCACCCACCTGCAGGGAGAAGATGACGACGGTGAAGCAGACCGCGGCGGTGATGCCCACGGCCATAATGACGGCGTCCGTGTCGTAGAAGCTGGCGATCATGCCCACCATGTAGGAGAGGCTTACGGTCAGGATCGACTATGGAGAAGGAGGAGGAGAAGAGATGGCCGGAGTCAGCCACAGGCCCCGCCACGTGGTCTCTCCACCCTGGCCCCACTGCTGCAGGGGGTCCTGGCCCTCCGCTGTCTGACCACCCCCCCGGCCTGGCCCAACCCCTCCCACCCCTCCAGGGCCTCCTACCAGGGCAACGAGGTTCCAGGGGTGCTTGCGCCGAAACTCCCCACAGCAGCTCAGGACAATGAGGGAGATGAAGAAGACGGCGTAGGAGACGTAGTAGGTCCAGACATTCCTGCGGACAAAGCCCTTCACGCCCTTCACAAAGGTGAAGACTGCCACGAAGGCAAACGTCACCGACAGCTGGATGGTCAGCACCAGGAACACCTGTGTGTATTGGGGGGGGGAGAAGGAGAGAGAATGGGACAGGAACAGAGCCTCAGCCTGGGGCGTGGAGAGCAGACGTGGGTGGTTGCACTGGCCCAGGGGAGAGGGAAGGTGGCAGGGGGTATTGCCCGGGAAGGGGGCCTGGGGGCTCCAGCAGCCACGGCACTGGGCACCATCGCTCTGGGATGGAGGGCCAGCGGTAGCCCCCATCAGGCTGCTGTCAGGGCAGGTGGGCCGGCCGGCGGCCAAGCAAACCACAGGCGGGGTGACCAGGCAGCTCCACTCCTTTTCTGCACAAGGGTCCTTCCCACACCCCACTCCGCCCATGGGGGGGATCTCTCTTGCGAAGCCTGAACCCAGGGCCAGGGGCTCAATCCCTGCCTGCTGGACCGAGCCTGGGCTGGTCTGATTGGATATCGCTGCACTCCGTGGTGGGGGTTGGTGGGGAAGAGGGTGGCCACAGTTCCCTTCCGGAGACCTTGACCCCATGCCACTTCACAAGTAGGCACCCCTGCCTCCCTAGGGGTCGCCCTCCTTCCACGGGTGCCCCCCACCCCACCCCCCACAAGAAGTACCTTGCGAATGAAGGCCTGGCGGATGTTCTTGTCATCCCAGTTTGTGGGGGGGAAGTCCTGGTTGTCGTAGTAAGAGGGGGGCCCATCCTCGTGGTAGTTGCTATGCAGCGGCGCTGGGGAGGAAGGGGCACAACCCACCACTCTCAGCGCCAGACTCCTTGCCTTGGCCCCCGCACCCACCCCCCAACGCCGTCAGGCCCCCCGACAGCCCTCCTGCCGTGGGCGATGGCAGAGGGAGGAGGCGCTCACCAATCCGAGAGGACGTGGCGCCTGCTCTCTCCCTATGACCAAGACAGGGTGCCCTGCACTGCCTCAGAAGGCCGACAGAGAAGAGGAGAGAAGGCGGCTTGGGAAACCATCTCGCCTGAGACCTCTCTCCTCAGGGCAAGCCCCGTCCACAGGCCCTCTTGCCCCTTCGGACTGCCAGGCGACCGGGGGGGGGGAGCCCTTCCCCCTCCCAAGACCGTCCACC